TTTTTTTTTTTTTTTTTTTTTGGTTCCAGAGTCTGAACTCAGGTCGCCTGGCCTGTGCAGCCAGTCTTTATCCACTAAGCCATTCTGCGGGCCCACATCTGGCTTTCTCACCTGGCCTCTGGGCATGGAACTCAGGTCCTCCTGCTTGCAAGGCAAGCACCCCTACTGACAGTACCATCTCCTCAGGCTGCTGTTACCTTTTCAAAATGGATGATCAGATGCCTGAAGGGATGAGCACCCCTGCACCCCCACTGTCTTCAACTTCCTAAGGCGGAAACACAAGCAGAGAAGGAGGAAATGCTATGGGAATGCCGTTTCAGGGACAGTGTCTCCGCAGTGATGGACTGAAGTGTAAGGGTTTGATGTGGAACGTCCTCCATAGGTTCGCACGCTATCCACCTGGTCTCCAGAGGGTGGCGCTGTTTTGGAAGGTTGTGGGAACTCCGGGAGATGGAGCCTCACTTGGAGGAAGTAGCCCTCTGGGTGAGGAGTAGCGGGGGAGACCTAGGGGTAATTTTATCCTTGTCTGTTTCTCTTTTAACTCTCTGCCCCCTGATCAGCCATGATGAGAACATTTCTTTCATCCCATCTGCTCAACATTTATGGACTGAAACCTTTGAAACATGCCCCCAGATAAACCCTTTCTCTTTAAGTTAGGTGTTGAGTCACACTGATATAAATAAGCAAACCACCTTCTGTATGGGGATTTGCCAAGTGTATTTTCCCTAGATACACTGGGCTCTGACCTTGCAGGGCTTGGGTGAGGAAGCCAACAGGGGTAGGTCACTGTGATCCCTGTAACATTTTCAGCACGGATAATAAAGTTAGCGACCTGGTTTTCACTTCTTCATTTTACTACATAGCTCCCCCCTCCAGGCGCCCCACCTGAGTCTACTTGGGTTACTACAACAACAATACTCTACGCCGGTTGACTTGAACAACAAGCAGGTATACTTGAAGTTCTGGAGGTTGGAAAACTCCATGTCTGGTGAGTATCCAGTTCCTGGTTCGTAAACGGATGTCCTTCTATGACACAGAACCATGAGCTCTCTAGGGTCTTCACCCAAGGGCTAAGGCCATTTGTTAGAAGTCCACCCTCATGACCTCGTGACCTCTCCAAGGTTCCACCTCCTAAAATCAGCATTTTGGGGATTAGAAAGTCAACATGTGAATTTCAGTGGGAGCACAAACATTCAGTACGTAATGATGCCCTCCATGATTGTAGGACAAAGTTGACCACTCACTGATTCCATTGTTGCCTCTTCCTCTTCCTCCTCCTCCTCTCTTGTCTCTGGACTCTTTTTAATGCCATACATTTCTATACACAGCACTGGGCTTCATAAAAACATTTTTCACTCAAGAAAATACAAACTTTAACTATGTTGTTCTGGCTCATACTCCTCCCCCACCCACTTTCTGCTCCCCCATCTGCCTTTTTGAGTATTTCTTCTTTTCTTTTTATTACACTTACGTTTTTTTTTTTGTGTGTGTGTTTATGTGTGTATGTGTTCATGTGTGCATGGGCATGCCACCGCATTTGTGTGGAGGTCAGAGACAACTTGAAGGAGTTAGTTCTCCCCTTCCACTAGATGGGTTCTTGGGATCAAACTCAGGTCCTAAGGCTTGGCAGGTGCCTTTACACACTGGGCCATTTTGCTTGCTCCAACATTTTTGGGCATTTTTTTCCTTAATTTATTTTTTATTTTATGTGCATTGGCGTTTTGCCTGCATGCATGTCTGTGTGAGGGTGTGAGATCCCCTGGAACTGGAGTCACAGACAACCATGAGCCACCATGTGGATGCTGGGAACCGAACCCAGGTCCTCTGGAAGGGCAGCCAGTGCTCCCAAATGCTGAGCCATCTCTCCATCCTTCTTTTTTTTTTCAAATAATATTCTTATTGATTATTTGGAAATTTCACATAATGAACCCCAATCACATCCACTTCTCAGTCCTCCCAGGTCCACCACCCACCCTTGTGACCTCCCCCGAAACAGAAGAAGAAAGAGAAAAGAAAACAAAAAAAAATACCCAGGTCAATTGTTGTTGCCAATATACTCACTGGTGCGTGTTCAAACTCCCAGTGGGCAGCCTCTTAAAGTACACTGAGTCCTAGCCTGGCGTTGGTGGCGCACGCCTTTAATCCCAGCACTTGGGAGACAGAGCCAGGCGGATCTCTGTGAGTTCGAGGCCAGCCTGGGCTACAGAATGAGTTCCAGGAAAGGCGCAAAGCTACACAGAAAAACCCTGTCTCGAAAAACCAAAAAAACAAACAAAACACTGAGTCCTTCCCCACCTGCACCCCCACCAGAAGCCATCAACTGTGAAGAGCTACACTTCAGCATCCCTATCACAATTTTTAGAGTTCTCCTCATTGGCTTCCTATCTAGACTGTTTCCCTTTTTGTGGGGGTGGGAGGGATGAGAAAAGTCGTCACAGAAGCCTTCTATGTCTCTCATCCTCAGCTGTGTAGTGGGAGCATAGATCACGGAAATACCCATGTGGTAATGTTGGGAGCCTAAAGTTGGATGACTGCGCTCTGACTTTTCTTGCTTGGATGTTCTGATGTAACTACACCCTTGACAACCGTTACTAAGTTACAAAAAACAATAACTCCCGGAAAAAACCACAAGATTTTAGATTAATATACTTTTAGATTAATATACTTTTAGAATAACTTCCTTGAACATGTTCAGGTTGGTCGGTTGCACAAGCTTTGGACCAAAGAGACCTTGCGATCCTGTTCTTCAGAAGAGACCTCACCCTGATCCTATTCTTCTATTCTTCAGAAACTTTCCATCCCCCTCCCTTCCCCTATTCACTTCTCCTATACATCAGTGTATATAAACCTGCTTCCCCTTGCAATAAACGAGACCTTGACACAACTCAGACTGACTCTGTTTTCTTTACGCGCTTGGTCTCCTTTCTCTCTTGCCCCCATTGGTTTTTTTTAGGAGGAGCCTCCTTGAGTCTTACCTAATAACCTGGCCTGCTGGACGGGTCATGGTAACATGGCCCTCAGCCACAGTACAGGCCAAGGACGCCATCATGGCCCTCAGTGGCAGTACAGATCATGGATCTCAACATGGATTCAGGTGGCCTTACAGACCCCAGAAATCCATTTGGCCTTCAGTGGTAACAGTCGCCATAGACATCCACATGGCCACAGATATCCACACAGCGCTCAGCTGAAGCTAGAACATAGAGACCAATATGGCTCTTGGTGGCAGCATGGACCATGGATATCAACATGGCCTCTGGCAGCATCATGGAACCACAGACTCTAACATGGCCCATGGTGGCAGCATGGACCACAGCCACCATCATGGCCCTCAGTGGCAGCACAGGCCATGGACATCAACCTGGTCTCTATCAGCAACATGGCCCATGGACATCAACATGGCTTCAGTGTGGACCACAGACATCTCCGTGGCCTTTGGTGGCGACATGGGCCACAGACATCAACACGCCCCCCCCCCCCAACACACGGCAGGACCACGGACACCAACATGGCCTCAGGTTTTCTGAGCATTCTTAAAGAAACATTATTCAAATTGCTTGAGGGTTCAAAGATTTAGAAATTTTTAAGAGTGTGTGTACTTGAGACCAAGTTCTTGTTAAAGATAAAAGTGTGGTCCTGTCTAGTTCCCCACCCTCTATTATTTGTGTGTGTGTGTGTGTGTGTGTGTGTGTGTGTGACATGTGTATGGACACGTGTGTGAGTGCAAGCAAGTACAAGCCCAGTATGAGTGTAGAAGCCAGGGGACAGCCTTGCCCTTGGTGTTCATCCTCTTCTTCCAGATGTTCGAGACAGGGTCTTTTAGTGTTCACAGCTGCCTAGCTGGCCCAAGAGGCTTTGACATTCTCCTGTCTAGGTCTCCCATCTAGACTGAAAAGCACTGGGATTACAGATGGGCGTACTGCTATGTCTGGCTTTTACCTAGATTCTGGGGATCTGAACAAGGAGTGGGAGGTGTGTGTGTGTGTGTGTGTGTGTGTGTGTGTGTGTGTGTGTCTGTCTGTCTGTCTGTCTGTCTTGTACAGCAAGTGCTTTACCTGCTGAACTATCCTCGGCCCTATGCTGATTCTTTCTAACCTCCCTTTGTCAACTGGGGAGGAAACCATGACCACACCTTAGCATCCAGGATTTCTGTAAGTCTAATACTGGCTTTCTCAGCAGATATCTGAAACTCCTCCTCCAGGGATGGCCCTGCCCTGTGATTTACGACTGGCCTAAGCAGACTTGGTTGCCTCAATGCTACCATCACAGATCACTCAGCAAGCAGAATAAAACTGCCTGGATCACTTACAGTAAATAACTCCTGATAATTCCAAAGGAACAAGGTGTTTGAATTACACCTAAAAATGCTTTGGCCAAGTCTTTCTGTTCCCACACTTGCCTGTCTATGCAGTCTGGACTCCGATTGACTCTTATCTTTCCTGAAATGTACTGGCTCCCAATCCCAAGCAAAGACAGAGGGGGTGTGTTCATTCAGTGACCAGTGTCCAAAGAATGCAGTCCCTGTGCTTTGCTCCACCCAGATCATGGCTTTCTGATCTGAGGGCCAGACAAGCTTTAACTGGGACTGTGCCACGAGCCCCTCTCCATTACTGAAAAACAAAAAAAGATGCATGGAATGGCCTGGGGTGTGTGGCTTAGTCAGTAGATGCTTGCCTGGGTTCCATCCCAGCATTGCATAAACCAGATGTGGGGGCTCACACTTGTAATCACAGGACTTGTGTGTGTGTGTGTGTAAGAAGGAGGACTGGGATTTCAAATTCATCCCCAGCTTCATATAGAGTCTGAGGCAAGCCTGGGATACATGAGATACTGTCTCCAATGATGCATGGGAAGTCAAAATGAGACCTGCTTCTTAGTCTAGGCCGGGGTAGAGGAAGGTAGGATGACTTTAGTGTTGGTCAAGTGCAAATCATCCTACATCCATCATGTCCAGGTTCTGGGACGATCAGTCTGCTCCCAGTGCGTAAAGGCCACACACTGTCTTCGCACTTGCTATGTAGCCACATCTTCATCCTCAGTGTCTTCTCTTCATCATATGACTGCTGGGATTCCAGGCATACACAACAATGCTCGGCTTTTTTTTTTTTTTTTTTTTTTTAGGATGAAAATGCATAGAGATTTCAGGGTAGGCTGTCTGTCCCCAAACTCATGTTAAGGCTTTAATTCCTCAGTGCAACCAAGTCAGAAGGAGAGGGCACTGAGGATTGATAAGGTCCTGAGGATTTTGCTCTCATGAATGGGTCTTTCTCAAGGGACTGAATTAAGTCTCCAAAGCATTAGTTCTCAACCTGTGAGTCGTGACACCTTTGGGTGTCCAACATCCCTTTTACAGGGGTTGTCTAAGACCACTGGAAAACACAGATATTAATATTGTAATTCATAACTGTAGCAAAATTACAGTTATGAAATAGTAACAAAAATAACTTTATAGTTGGGGTCACCACAACATGAGAAGCTATATTAAAGCATTAGGAAGGTTGAGAACCACTGCTCGATTAGGTCAAATGCTCTACCACTGAGCCACATCCCCTAACCCCTCACTGGGGGATTCTAGTCAAGTGCTTTACCACCGAGCCACACCCCAGTCCCTCACTGGGGGATTCTAGGTCAGGGTTCCAACCATTGAACCACATGCCCAGCCCCTCACTGGGGAATTCCAGGCAGACGCTCTACAACTGAACCATGTCCCCACCCCATCACTGGGAGATGCTAGGCAGGTGCTCTACTATTAAGCTGCATCCTCAGCCTATTGCTTTTGTTTTTAGCATTCACCGAGTGTCTCCGCGGTCATTCGATTCCATCAGTATGCAGCTCGATTTCTGTTTTTAATCATGACTGCAGGAACAGAAATGCATCTTGTTGTGGAAGTGTTACCTCCATCAGACAAATGCCGAACTCCGCCGCTCCGCCATCGTGCTGTGATCTTTCCATTTATTAAAAACAGCACTGAATGCTGCGATGTATTAGTGGTCGCCTGGAGAGGAGGAGGAGTAGATCAAGAGGAAAATCAAGAAAATATGCAGACAGTCGGCTTCCAGACGGGCAGAGAGCGTAAGTGGAAAGATTTTGTGTTATTTTATTTTCTTTGATTAGCATGTAAGGATTGGCCCTATTAGCGGAGTGTGAGGTGTTATTTCAACACACGCACGCGGCTTTCTCCTCTCTCTCCTCACCACTCCCCCACCCACTTGTGTGTGTGTGTGTGTGTGTGCACACGCACACACGGCGTGCCAGAGGTTGACGTTAGGTATTTTTCTCAACTGTTCTCCACTTTATATATTAAGGCAGGGTTTCCCACTTGAATCCAAAGCTCACAGATTTGGCTAGTTTAATTAGCCAGGTTGCCCCAGGGATTCCCCTGCCTCTACCTCCCCTGCATTGAGACCAGAGATAGGATGCCACATCCACCTGATATTTACGTGGATGCTGGGTGTCCAAGCTACAGTCCTCATGTTTTTATGGCAACTGCCTTACACATTGAACCATCTCCACAATCCCATTTGTTTTGAGACAGGGTCTCCCTAGGAAGCCCGGGCTGGCCTCAAACTCACAGTCTCAGCTCAGCCTCTCAAGTGCTGGGATTAGACATGCACCTATTCCCCTCCCTTTCTTTTATTGTCTCCTTTCCTCTCCTTCTCTCCTTCCTTTCCTCTCCCCCATCCCTCCTTATTCCCTCTCTCTCCCTTGAAGGTTTGCTGTTTTTCTTTTCTGGACACAGGATCTCATACAGCCCCAGCTGGCTTCAGACTTGCTGGGTAATCCAGGCTGGCTTTGAACTCCCGATGTTCCCATCTCAGCCTCTCCAGGGCTGGGATTACAGGTACGCACCATCATGCCTCACTTCCTTTTCTTTTCTGCATGGCTGGAACCTTAGAACGTCTATCTGTTTGGTCTTCGTAGAGTCTATCACAGCTTATTGTGAACTACAGTCGTATCTGTGGCCTTGAACGTATTTCTTCTGGCTAACCGCATTCCCACATTCTCTCAGCCTTTAGAAATCACCGTTGTAATCCTTGCCATGCTGGGGTGTGCTTTCTGGTGATGTCGCTATCACTAGGTCACTCCTGCTCCTGGTTAGTAACCCCTCCCTTGCACTCTCCCCCCCGCCCCCCCCCCCCCCCCCGGTCCCAGGGAGTAGTTGCACGATGCCCTTCTAGCTTCCTCTCCTGCTACCCTTGAGTCTGCTGAGGTCTCACAGCCTCTCCATCAGAACTGTAGCCCTGGCAAGAATGACTGCTTCCTTCAGCTGTTGCAGCCGCCTCCCTGAGAAGCTTCAGGCCTGTGTATTCCCGGCTAGTGTGTTTTGCAGGTCTGAAATGGAGGGGTGATGGCCTAATCCCATGTTCACATGAGAGTTAAAGTGTCAGTGGTTGCAGATTGTGTGTGTGTGTGTGTGTGTGTGTGTGTGCCAGTATGCATGTGGAGGCCAGAGGCCAGCGTTGACTGTCTTTCCTCATATGCTATCCACCTTGTGTTTTTTGAGACAGGGTCTCTCATCGGCCTGGAATTCCCCAAGTAGGCTAGGATGGCTGGCCAGCAAGCCCCAAGGATCCACCTGTCTCGACCTCTCAAGCATGCAAATTATTAGGGCATGTTACCATGCCCAGCTTCTTTACATGTCTTCTGGGAATTGACTCAGGTCCTCAGGCTTGTGTGGCAAGCACTTTGCCTGCTCAGCCTTCTCCCCAGCTCCTCTACCGCAGTCTAACCCCTCAATCCGGCGTTCCGTCTTCATCCCGAAACCTCTTCCTTCTGCGCTGGTTCTCATTTCTTTAAGAAAAGGTTGAACCTTGCTGTGCCTCTGTCTGAGAATCTTAGAGGCTGTCTCAGGAGCCCCATTTGCTCAGCACATCACAGTCAGGATATCAGCACACGGCTACAACCATGGCCACGTATCAACATCTGGAGAGCGGCCACCTGGCCTGGACCTCACCTCTCTTTGTCTGGACCATTTCACCATCCCTCCTATTTATTGCTTGTCCCTCTGCCTGCTTGCTTCATTTTATAGTTTAACTTTTGGAACCCAGGGCCACAGGCATGCTAGTCAAGGACTCTTAACACCGAGCTCCACAAGAGCCCAGTTACACCCTCAGCACAGAGCTCCACCCCAGCCTAGTGCTCCGCCCCCAGCCTAGTGCTCCGCCTCTGCCCATAGCTCCACCTCAGCCCACGGCCCACCCCCAGCTTAGTGCTCCACCCCCAGCTTAGTGCTCCACCCCCAGCCTAGTGCTCCACCCCCAGCCTAGTGCTCCACCCCCAGTCCATAGCTCTGTCTCTACCTAGAGTTCCACCCCTAGCCCAGAGCTTCAACCCCAGCCTAGGGCTCTACCCCCAGCCTAGTCCACTACCTCTGCCGGAGCTCCACAGAGTCACTTCCAGCTCAGTGCTCCACCTCCAGCTTAATGTTCCTCCTCCAGCCCAGTCTACCACCTCTGCCCAGAACTCCAACCCTAGCCCAGAGCTCCACTCCCATCTCCAGTCCAGATTTCTACTGCCAGCTCTTGGCTCAGAGAGACTTCATCCCGCTGGAGCCTTAGCAGAGGGTGAGTTCTCTGTTGAAAAGGGAGTCCACAGAACTTCATTCTCACATCCTAGGCCCCAAGCAGCCTTCATTCCTTTTTCCTTTGAGAGTCCAGGGTCCTGATTGCCTTCTCGGGGGGTTCCGAGAATTCCCACGTAGGGAGCAGGACCACTCAACACGACTCCTGCAGCTCATGTAGCTAGCGAGGCCACCACACTCAAGGGTGGCAGTTACTGGCCGGCACCCCCAAGTCTTAGTGTATCCCGGTACAATACGCACCTTTTACCAGTAGATGGCACTGTGGTTGTTTCCAAGAGGCAGCGGAGGCTTTGGAGAAAGAAAATGTCCAAATGGCTGTAACAGCTGCACTCGGAACCTGCAGGGAGCATTCAAAAGCGTTAACCCCTGAGTGGTAGGGAAACGGGTGTGTGTGTGTGTGTGTGTGTGTGTGTGTGTGTGTGTGTCGGGGGAGCTGGAGGCAGCAGGGATCTTAACCCTGGGAAGCCCGGCCAGAGGAGCCAGGGCTAGCTGGCGGAAGGAGAAAGCGAACTGCAGGGGGCCCTTTCTTAGGGACAGCCAAGGGCTCCACTAGCCAGGGGCTTTTGAGCCCGCCCCTCCGCCACTCTGCCACTCCGTTGGGGGTGGTTTTCTAGAGAGGGAGGCAGCAGGGAGCCCTGTGCTGACTGCGTGTGAGACTGCCCTGCGTCTCCTTTTAGTACCCACTTTGGGCCACTAATTTAAATCGTGGCTTGTGTACCCATCTACAAGTGAAGCCCAGGAACATTTCTTGCTCGGTTTTTGTTGTTTTTCAGGACACCGGACGAGCACCATACGCCTTAAAATTGTTGTTGAGCCAATGCATAATCGATTGGATGGATAAATGAATTTTGGATTTGGCGGAGAAAATTCTCCCTGTGCTGAGAATCGAACCCAGGACCTCAGTCCTGAGAATCAGCGCCCCTCTCCTCCACAGAAATAATAGGGTTAAGGATGTTGCTTAATTGGTAGGTGTTTGCTGACATTGTAGGAAGCCCTGGGTTCCATCTCCAGCACTGTATAAATATACACATGTGGTGACACACACCTATCACCCCAGCACTTTGGGAGGTGGAAGTAGGAGGTTCAGAAGTTCAAGGTCATCCTCCACTACTCCCGGAGTTCAAGGCCAGCCTGGAATTCATGAGACCTTGTCTCGTACATAGATAAATAAGTATATTTTCCAGATGAGAAAAATAGGGCTGGGGAGATGGCTCAGTGGTTAAAATGCTTGTCGTGCAAGACAGAGGACCAGAGTTTGGATTCCAAGGACTCACTAAATGCCCGGTGAGTGTGGCAGCCTGCCTGTGATTGCAGCTTGCTTATAATGTCAGCCTTTGCATTTAGAGACAGAGGAGCCAGGCAGCAAACCGGTTAGAGAGGAAAGTGGCTAGCTACATCAGTGCGCTCCAGGTCTGACTGGTTAGGTCTCAGGAAGAATAAGGCGAAAGAAGGATTGAGAAATATTTCAGATATCAGTCTTGGGCTCCACATGCACACACGTGAGCTCTCACACACATGAGCATGCATGCCCACCCTTCATAGACATGAAAAGAAAACAACAGCAATAACAACAGTAATAATAATGACAAACAGAAGGGGCTGTCGGGGTGTGATGGCCCATGCCTATAATCCCTGTAGGATGGGAAGCAGAGGCAGGAGGATGGCAAGTTCCAGGCCACTGCGGCCTACCTAACGATCGGTCTCAGCAACGGAGCAGGAGACAAAGCCAGGAATTTCAAATGTCTGCCTTCACTTCTCTCGGGCGCTGACCGTCTTCACCGCTTCCCTTGCAGTATCAAGAGCTATCCAGTGTGCCTTCCCCGCATCACCTCTCCATCCATCTGTTCAGATCTGTGCCTCTTAATTCCCTCAGATCCGTATTTATCCCTCTTTAGCGATTTATCTCGATCACATCCTCCCTTGAATTACAAGGATTTAGTGGCTTGTTCCATCTTCCAGCTAGCCGGGGGTGTGTGAGGGCATCAGTTCAGGTCACCCAAGCAATGTGACAGCTGTTCTGGGCCAACTCCTCAAAGGTCTTTAAAGAAAATACGATTAAGGCTGACAGTATTTTCCAAAGAGGGCGTACCTAGGTCTGTACCCCTTGGCATCTTTTTCTCATTTTCTTTTTCTTTTTCTTCTAGTGCTTGGGATGGAGCCTAGGACCTTGTGCAAGTTAGGAGAGAGCTTTATCGCTAAGCTAGCCCCTCACTGGGGGACTCTAGGCAGGTGCTCTACCACTGAGCCACACCCCCAGCCCCTCACTGAGGGATTCTAGGCAGGAGCTCTGCTGCTGTGGGATGTCTTTCTATACGCTGTGAGTATATGTTTTGCTCCCATTGGCTAATAAATAAAGCAGCTTTGGCCTATGGTAAGGCAGCTTAGAGGCAGGTGGAAAATCCAAGCAGAGATGGAGTCAGGGAGATGTTAGCCCACTGTCTCAGGAGCAACATGTAATGGGACACAAGTAAAGCCACAGAACATGTGGCAATCCACAGACTAATAGCAATGGGTTGAGTTAAGCTATAAGAGCTATCTAGCTACCAAGAAGCCTGTGTCATTGGCCATACAGTTTGTAATTAATATTAAGCCTCTGAGTGATTATTTTATAAGTGGCTGTGGGACTGTGGGTGGGAGAGATTTGTCAGGACTCCAGGGCGGGAGGGACCGGAGAAACATCCAGCTACACTCAACCACTTAACGACACCCCAAGACAGCCATTAGTGAATTTTAGGTAAATGCTTTACCATTGAATTATACCCATCAGGGATTTTGTTCAGTTTGTATATTGGCAGAAAGGAATGTGGACTTGGAATCTGTGCTGGATTTTCTCATTGCTGAGAAAAAAATACCTGAGGGAAACAGCTGAAGAGAGGAGAGCTTGATATTGGCTCATAGTTTCAGGTGACATCACTCCATCGTGGAGAAAGTATGGTGGCTGGCTGGGGGTGGGGGGTGGGGGGTGGGTTTGGGCAGCTGCTACTTCTCACATCTACAGATCAGAAAGTAGAGAGAATGGACTGGAAGTGAGACCAGGATGTAACCCTCATGGTTCCCCCCCCCAACATCTTGGGGAGGGGTCATGTGTATCTTGTTAATTTCAGGAACTTCTCGAGACTTTTGTGTTGTTTACTTCCTGAGTCTTAACCATCCTCCCTGCTCTTTCCTGGAAAGAAGGAAAGCGAAAGCGATTTCCACTCTGAGGAGATTTGTGTTCCCAATTTACAGCTGGGGAAAATTGAGCCTTAGCCAAAATAAGGCAACGATGGTAGGTTCTCCTTATCCCCCAGCTCTGAAGCTGGGTGTCGGAATATTTCTAACATTGCGTTTGCCCTCTACACTGCTGTATGCAAGAGCTGGGGAGAAAAGGCTGGCACTGGAGTTGCTGTTGCAGCTGCCACATGCAGAGTAGGAGGATCCTTCTCAGGAATAAGACAGGACTGCTGATTGCCTGTTTTTCCCAACCCCAGAGAAGGTACCTCTACTTGCTATATTGTGCCACTACTTCTCATGGTGTTTTGAATGTGCAAGTTGTCCCTTAATGGTTTATGCGTTTGGACACTTGGTCAGCAGCTTACAGCACAATTATCCATGAGTGCACACATGTGTGTACACACTCACACAACCGAATGAATAAAAAGTGTAGAACAGGAGCCGGAGAGATGGCTCCACGAGAAAGACAACTTGTTGCACAAGAATAAGGATCTGAATTCGAATCCCCAGCGCCCCTGTGGAAAGCTAGGTGTGGTTACACACATGCCTGCAATACCAGTGTTACCAGGGGGAGGTTGTGGGGACAATCGTTGAGGTTTGTTGGCCGCTAGCTTAGCTCCAGGTTCAACAAGAGACCCTGTTTCAAGGGGATAACCTGGAGAAGGATGGAGCGGAAAGCTGGTCTCCTCCCCTGGCCTCCAAGTATGCATGCATATAGCACACATACACAGGCACATGTGTATTTAAAAAAAAAAAACCAATTTATATTATGCATTTTGCCTGTATGTATGTCTGTGCACCACTTGTGTGCTTGATGCCTGTAGGAGCCAGAAGAGGGCCCTGGGTTCTCTGGAACTGGAGTAACAGGCAGTTGTGAGGTACCATGTGGGTGCTGGGAACTGGACCTGGGTTCTTTGGAAGAGCAACAAGTGCTCTTAAACACTGAGGCTTCTTTCTAGCCCCTCCATATGTATGTATATGTATGTATATGTGTGTGTGTGTGTGTGCGTGTGTGTGCGTGTGCGCACGTGTGTGCTGTGCATGTGGAGAGCAGAGCAAGACTTAAGGCAGGGTCTCCCACTGACCTGGAAGTTCATCATTTTTGGAAGCTGGGATGGCCATGGAGCTCTCAAGGTACACTTGTCTCTACCCCTCCATGCTGGGTGACAAGCATTTGCAGCTGTATCCAGCTTTTGATGTAGGTGTTGGGGATTTGAACTCACGTCTCCAGGTCCTCATGCTTCTCAGCCCCTATTTTCATTTTTTAATGAACCATTATTAGTTAGCACTTAAAATAGCTTTCATGACGACCTCCTGGTTATGTTTTTGTCAAGTTAACACAAACCTAGAATTTCAATTGAGAAAGCGCCCCCAACAGATGGATTGCTGCGTCTTTCCTTCCTTGCTTTTTTTTTTTTTTTTAACTTTTTGAGATTTTTCTATTTATTTTTATTTTTTGTGTGTGGGTATTTTACCTACATGTAGGTCTGTGCACCACATCTGCAGAGACCAGAAGAGGGCATTGGATCCTCTGAAATTAGAATTACAGACAATTGTTAGCCATGATGTGGTTGCTGGGAACAGAACCCAGGTCCTCTGGAAGAACCACCAGAGCTGTTGACTACTGAGACATCTTTTCAGTCCCCTTACTTGCTTAGAAAAAAGCTTAATTTTTTAGTTTATAATTTTTTTTTATTTATATGTGTCTCTGTGTGTGTGTGGGGGTATGTGCACATGTATGCAGATGCCCACAGAGGTCAGAAGGGGGCATTGGATTCCCTGCGGGCTGTTGTGAGCTGCCCCACATGGGTTCTGGGAACCAAATTCAGGTTCTCTGCAGAAGTGGCAGCTTCTCTTCTTTAACTTCTCAGCCCTCTCTTGCGCCCTTACTTTCTTCTTTCTCTCTCCTCACCACCCCGGGGCTCATCCTATGTCCGGTCCAACTAAACTGTCCTCATTAGGAAAGTGATGCTCGCAACCCATGGGAAGAGGTCAAGGGCGAAGACTTGGAAGAAAAGCATGGGATGCTCTCTACTTGTCGGGCTCTATTACAAAAGAACAAGGGGAGCTGGGTGTGATGGAGCTGGCCTCCTCATGCCATCTGCTCTGGAGGCTGAGTCAGGAGGATCATAAGCTCAAGGTCTGCCTGGGTTACACAGTGAATTTTGGCCATCCTGGGCAACTCTGTGAGACCCTGTCCCCAAATTAAGAATAAAAGGAAAGGCTGGCAAGGTAGTTCAGTGGTTGAGCACATGCCTAGAATGCCCCAGTGAGGGGCTGGGGTGTGGCTCAGTGGTAGAGCACCTGCCTAGAATCCCCCAGTGAGGGGCTGGGGTGTGGTTCAGTGGTAGAGCACCTGCCTAGAATCCCCCAGGGAGGGGCTGTGTGTGTGACATGAGCAACGAAGAACATGCTTAGGCATAATGCCTACGGTCCAAATGTGTGTTGTGTGCATGTGTACACACACACACTCACTACATTTAAGCGTGTGCACAAAGGGAACAATCCTTCAGTAGCTGCACCTTGAGTGCTCTCTCCAGGTGTGTGAGCCGAAGCGCTTGCAGGTGTGTTCAGCCTTCCAGTGTCTCTCAACCATGTTGTCATCTACGAAGTTAACACTTGAGAACTGTACAATGGAGTTAAAAACTA